GATCCGATACCAGAAAGTTGAAGAAACTGTAAAAATATACCAGAGAAAAGACCATTAATAACATTATTAAATTGTGATAGATGTTGAAAAAAAAAAATGGAAGTGAAAATTTGTTTTTTGTTTCAGTATTTTGATTGAGCTGATTTTTGTTGTACATTGTAATTAAGTTTTATTTTTTAACAAAGCAACGTTATCCCAATTTATGGTACAAACAGATTTTATTTTTAAATTTCATGTTTATTAACCAGTTTCTTTTACACAAAACTTTTACGGTAGTTTGAAATTCCCCAGGATGAAATCATCAATTCAATTCAAGGAAACATTTCATGGTGTTCGTGTATACTTATAAATGTAAGATGAAATGTACATACAATGCATTTTCTCAGGACCTCTGACAAGTTGACAGAAATATGATTTTACGTTTACATATGAACAAAAAAAAAAAAACTATTTACATTTTTTGTTTCTTTTTTAAATGAGCTTTTCTCTGTGTTATACAAAAAATTATAGCTTTGCTTGTAATTACAACAAGCTGTTGCCATGGATACTCATACACATATTGTGTTGTTTGTTTCGTTGACCCACCAGAAGTGAATGTTATGGCATTGTGTGGCTCTATGGAATGGATTACTCAGCAGTCTGTTGCTCACTACGCTTACGAGAGCGGTTCCGTTTTGTGATGTTCGAGGCAAATACTTGCAAGCTCACTTTGGCTGAAGATGGCCTTTAGATTTAAACAATTTGAAGAATGTGTATTCCTTTTAAAATGTATAATTATGGTGTTTATCATTATATGCAAGGTATTTAATGTACAATGTTCATTTTTGTTGTGATATTGTAAGATCATGACATCTCACATCAAACTCCACCAATATATTCAGAATCACTTCAATTTGACACAGAACCATAGGTAACTGTATTGAAAAAAAAAAGGTCAGCACCTGTTACATCTGTGTGTCTAATGTCTCAGAATTTCTTATTTGATATAAATACAAAGTCGTGATTTCTGTGTTCTATACAGAAGTGTTGATGTCATAACAAACAAGAAATGAACAGCTATCAAAACGTATACATTGGGAAATGTACAAGCATTTGTATGAATGATTTATATTTTTAATAATGTTGTGGTTGAATTATTTGTCATGCTATGTTTGCTATACTAGTAATGCTTGTGCTCGTGTAAACGTTATGGGCGCGTCTTTTGTCAAAATAAGTTGTATTTTATAAAATAAATAGAATTTTAGGTTTGTGTGCACTTTGATCGGAGACGTGTTTCTCATAGAGCAAATACAGTATCATGAATACAATCCTTTGTATACAAGAATTTATAAGATTACAATCGTATACCCAGTCTTTCTCGAACAATTGACGCAAAGCGTTATAATATAGTTCAAATGCAGAAGAATGTAAATGTTGATTGTATTTTATTGGTTTTTATTTTGTCAATGTATCGATATTTTGTTTTTATCTTTTCAGTTAATCATTAAATTACTTGTGCATTAAAGTTTAATACCATGGATGTTTATTCTGTACTGAAAGTAATTTCAACTTACTGATCATAAGGGTGTTGCTATAGTTACTGTTTTTTGTTGGGTGGAGGGGGGTTGTTGTTGCACTTTTGAACATTTCGAAATTATTTATTTGTTGTTGGCTGTCATCGAATCAACATTGATAGATACAGATAGAATAAATCATTTCAGTGTTTTTACTTAAAAACAGTATTTAGAAAGGTATAAGCCCTTAAATCGTATATATCACAAACAATTCAACCAACAATCAGTTTACAATTCTATTTCCCCTGACAAGAGTGTGTTCTCTATGTAATTTATTGTGTTCATTTCAAAACTGCACATGCACTCGTACAGTAACTTTTTTCACTGATAAAACTCGCTTAACAAATGTTAAACAGTAGAGTTAAAAACATTATTTTTTTGGAATTTGCTATGATCCTTTTGTGTCATGATAAAATCAGGCAGTTTGGATATGCAATGCATTTTGTCAGTTTTACTGTAACCACCCGTTTTAACAAATTTTCATTCAATATTGCTCTAGCATTAAAGACAAAGTAATTTCAATTTATTTGTACGAGGGCGCTGTTACATTCTCTGGTTTTATGTGGGACATCAAAATCCAGTGACTGTTTATTCAATTCCTACCAGTTGGCATAAAACGTAATCTCAATTCAGTATGAGGACATTTATGAGAATTTGTTTTTATAAGAGAGGGCTGAATTAAAATTGGCGGCAGATTCTATGATCAACTTGAATGAATGACCGAGAAATTTATTTTTAACATATTGACCATGAGGGCGGTATCACAATTTTGTATTTCGTTCTCCAGGTACGACTAACATTACCTTTCAATTTCATTGTGGAAGTCTGTGTTTCAGAGCTCATACCACTAATTATAACTCCATAAACGACAATGTTAGCGTTTGGGTGAATTAAAGATCAAAATACTGTTAATTTTTTGAAACCACATGTATGTGATAGAATTCTAGACAGGGCTAATAAGAAATCTGTAATCAGCGAAACAAGTGTCCCATACCAAAGACCTTTCCCTATACATACAGTATTCACAATTGTCGGACAAAACTTGACCAGTATATTCACCTTTCAGTCGTGTGTATAATTTCATAAAACCTTTGCCGAAAATAACAATATTTAATTAGTAAATGGCTCGTTTTGTTAATTACAGATTTCTGATTATCTGTAATTAGCGAAACGAGCCATTTACTAATTAAATATTGGTATTTTCGGCAAATATTTTGTAAAAATTGTGCGTATATAAAACC